GCTATTATGACTTGGCCGACTTCGGCCTGGTAATTGGTTGCCTGTTCGTGACCTTTGCCACACATACGGAGCTTGTTTGCTTTGTGAAGCCAATAGATCAGTGTGCGCCCATTCCTGATTGATATATATATATATATATATGTTAGGGGGCGCTCACCGATCGTTCATACGGAACGCACTCGTTCCGTTGTGCCTTAGGGTCTCTCTCTCAAGCCCAACCAGCAGCCGCGCAGCGTCGCATCATATAAAGGCAGAATGATATTACCGGCAAAGACAAGGGAGACTTGAATGGTCATTTCTGGCTTATTAGCCGTCGTTAGCCGTCCATACCCAAGCCCGAAGTGTGGAACACTCGAGCCTCGAACTCGAGAGCAGTTGGCTTAGAAGTAAACGCCTCTACTCAACGGGCCACGAGCCCGACCGACAAGCAAGCGTTCAAACAATTCATATTTAATTAACTATGAAAAACTCGGCGCCGCGTTGGGGTTGTAACCCGCGACAGCAAGGAGGCAGCTTTAGAACACCCACGGTTTGGACACCAGAGCTACGAAAACCCGTAGGAAAACAAGAGTTTCATCACATTTTGGTAAATGTTCCCGCCCGAACTTCTACAATGTATGGAATTACCGACATTTGATACACTAGGTTGACTGCCCAAGCAGGATTTTGCATGTAATTTGCCAAGTATCCACTAGATGACTACGAGGCTCACATTCTTATAATTGACGAAATTGTGGAAGAACCCGTGCCTGGCGGGATTCGAATCCATGATAGCAAGAGGTAGGCATTTTTACAGAAGAATCCTTTTACACCCACGCTTAGTTTTGCGCAATTGCTGTTTTCGTTGTATGTGTCAAAGTCGGTCTGCGTTGCCCTGGATCAGACAGAGGATTCCACCCACACAATTTCGTTCAGAAATGTTTCAAAGGTTCTCGTGAAGTCAGCGCCTACATGCGGTATGCCCGAAAAAGCAGGACTGAACTTCTCATGAGGACATCAGCCAATCCACAAGTACATCAATGCTTCTATGTTGATCACGTTTTGGAGGCAAAGTACTTCAGAATGGCATGCAATCTGACGTTCTCTAGTGTCGAATTTGAACTTTATCACACGGTATGCATGCTAAACTTCTTATACGAATCGAAGACCATTTAATATCTGAAAGGTTGCTACAATTTGATTTAATGGTTTTGTTAAAAACTTATTTTAACATAAAGGCCTAGTTTAGAAAAGTGAGCAAATTATCATAACAGTTATTGTTATTCCTAAAGTGTTTGCAGTTTATTTAAACTATACGCGTTTATGCAGACTGAGATGGCCAGTTTTAACCTCTTTGCTTTCGTCAGCTGGTCTTGGACAAACTTAAGTCTTAAATACCCGGAATTAGGATATTTTCTGTTCAAGCCTTCCCTTGCGCAGTCGACTCGTAATTCTTTCATTTGTGATCACACAAATTTGTTCAGCATATGCATATATATGTAGAAAGAAGAAGTTCTTTAGGAAGCAGCAAACTGTATTGTGTAAATTTTCGAGGATGGTTCCCTAGCTCGTCTTCAGACAAAGGGCGTGCAAAAACAATTAAATTCTAGACCGAGTCTGGCAAAAGGATTCCATGATTGGCTAAGTTCGTCATCTCGGGATTGGTTGAGTCAGTTTGAATCTGTCCTAAACGATTTTGTGAAAGGCATCTAAATCGACATGCCGGTTGATGCATGCCTCATCTGAGTTCATTGCCTCCAAGGATTCGCAGCCTTTTCTTTATGGGCAGGCGCCAACAATGCGAGTTCTTTCCCATGCAGATTTATGCCCAGTGTCCACTGTGTGCATGACAACCTGAGATAGATGGTCGCGTCTCTTCACAACTAACTGAAGATCATGTATACTGGTTGAGACAGATTTCCCAGTTTGACCACAATAAACGGCACCACAACTAGAACATGGGCTTTTGCAGACAACAACTTTTCTTTCGATGTTGCCAACATTGTCCTTAGTGTGTACAAGCTGTGTGCGTAAGGTGGTTGCCAATTGGTGTGCTACGTGTATCTGGCACTTTTTAATTGTCTTTTGACTAGTTCAGATACCTGTATGACCTATAGGCGAGTTCGCATTATGGTTGGTTTTGGTGCCTGAACGGCCGTAGCAATGGATATACATTTTACCTTAACTTGCTGGTACCTCACGCAATGACGTATAAAGTCATGCGGGCACCCATTTTGGGAGAACAGTCTGTAGAGGTATTTCATTTCTGCTCGATAACTTGTTTCATCAGAGCAGTGAGTTTTGGAACGATTCAGAAGGATGTAGACTGTACTCCGTTTGTGAGAGACAGGGAGGTTACTCTCAAAGTGTAGGATGACTTTTGAATACGCCTCTTTGGGATAAACTGATGTCTGAAGTGGTCCATCGGTTTTTCGACGTACAAGGACATCTAGAAACGGGAGTTATCTATCGGCGTCTGTTTCGAAAGTAAATTGTATTCCTGGAAATATCGAGTTAATATTGGTACGGGGCAGATTCAACTGACCTTTCTTTACGATGACAAAAGTGTCATCTGCTTATCGTAGCCAAAATTTTGTGTACACAGTGAGAAGGGCAATGCTCTCCTATCTCTGCAGTAATGCCTCTGCCAGGAAACCGGATATGGCTAAACACATGAGAGCACCTTTAGTTTGTTGGTAGCACTGATTGGAGTAGGAAAGAATTGTCTCTCGACAAAGATCAGGGAGTTGAAGTAAAACCTCTGTAGGCACATCAGAGGTATATGTTTGAAGGAGTTTTTTGGTGCAGGTCTTCGCAAAATCTAGCAGAATGAGAGTAAAGAGCGAGACCACATCGACTGTCTCGCAAAATGTAAAGTTTACACCGTTTAATTTGCCAAGAAATAATTTGAATCCTGAATAGAGTTCACAAAGGTCTTCGTAAGTGGATGTAGTTGACGAAATAGTCACTTCGAGGTCTTATAGTTGGGTGCACCTATTAGGGCGACTATCGGTCGTAGAGGAATATCAGTTTTTTTTTTATTTTTGGGAAGACCATATATCTTGGCAATTGTTGGTTCATCCTGTTTTAAAGACTTGGCATTAACTTCTGTGAGGAATTTCTACCCGATAGGCTTTTCACTGTTTTTTTAATATGCGCGTTTTGCGATTTCGTGGGGTCTGCAGCTAGTGGGTCGTATGTTGAATCATCTTTTAGGAGTGACATCATTTTATCTACGTAGACTGTTGTTTTCAAAGTAGTGGTGGAACCTCCTTCGTCGACAGGTAGAATGATTAAATCTTCGTCATTTTAGGGCTTTAAGGGCTTTCCTTTCATCGTAAGATAGCTTTGCGGGCTTTTTACTGTTCTACAATGCCCGTACAGTACTGTTACGTATGCATACAAATGTATAAAAATGGAATGTTATTAGCAAGGGTAAATATAGCATTGGACCCACCTATACATTAAGACTTGATATGCGTCATGGAAAAACTGCTGAAATAACGCCATATATAAATGACGCACAAATCGGCTGCTTCTTTACGCATAGAGTTTGCACGCCTTAGGAACAGAGTTGAATGTCTCGATAGAAAAAGATATTGTTTGCAAAATCCTATATGTCTATTTTAATGGAATGTTCCATGGCTAAACTGCGAAACCAGGCTTGCCCCTGATGCACGAAATTAAGTTAGTCGGCAGAAGAGCTCATCAAGTATCACATATGCCTATCCTCACTCTATAAGCAATGCGCTCCGATGTAGCATGCATAAATCTGCATATAAATTTCGATGTCTCGTAGAACTTGAAGAAGACGAAATATAATGAGTGGCTCATTGGTCAAACAATGTGCTCAGAATCGGTGCTCAAATTAAACGTTATAAGTGTTATTGCATTCACAACGAAATTCACCTATTTTCTTCTATGTTTATATATGTATACATGCCAACGCGCATGCAGATGCGCAGTCGATATAAATAATTCTGTTTTTTATCACCCATGAAAAGAAACAAAGAAAAAGAGCAAGCGATTTCATGGAAGGTACTGTTTTCATGCTGACATTTCCTTGGCTTGTCCAGTTACATCACCCGAATCGTGAGAGGTCAGTTTCTGCTGATCTGGACTTGTTATGACTTACCTCCTGTTTCACACGTAGACCTGATAGCCGGCCCACAGACAAACGATAATGTGGCAACTACAACAACCGCGCGAATCCGCAAGTGAATGGCAAAATAAGGGCCACATTTAATCCTTACTTATTAGACGAAGCAAGTCTATGTCAGCAGGAACCATAATCAACAAACTGTTGTCGGAAACAACAAAATATATCAGATGCCAATCGAAAGGCCGGAGTTACTCATATAGTCACCCGCCCTATTACCTCGTGCTATATATATATATGATGAAGAGAGAAGGCTCGTCGGAAAAATTGAGTTGTACTCGTAAATTTTCGAGCTGATGACACCAACCCGTCGTCAGACGAAAAACAGTGGACAAAGTGAACTGGTCAGAATAAATTTGCTGGCGTGACAGGGCAGCCATTTACAGGCAAGCAACTAATGTGTGAATGGGGGTGGACAGATAATTAGGCTGGGATCCGTGGTGGTTGAGGGAAGGGGGAACTGTTGCGGCTCCCTGTGTTGGAGGGTAGGGGGGATGACAAATCAATGAAACTATGGGCAGTGGACTTAATGGTCGTCGATCCGGCATGCGGGTGGAGGTCAGTGAGCCCAACGTAGAGGTGTTACGGGTTGCAGTTGCGGTTCGCTGTGTCTGGGGGTGTAATGGGGTGACGAAATAGCGCGATTCTACATGGCCCAGTGTGGATTAGCGGCTGTTGTTAGGTCGTGGGCGCAAGTCAGTGAGCCGGGCACGCAGACCTTCGTAATGAGCATCTAGATCGACATGGCGATTGATGCTTGTCGTGTTAGAGTGCCAGGCTTCGAGGAATTCACGAGCGTGTTTGGTGTTCGCCATGGCAACAACTTCAGTTCCTTCCCAGTTGAAGCGATGGTCGCATTCAAGGGCGTGTGCAAACACGAGTGACAAAGGGTCACGTCGGCGGATGGCTAGTTTATGCTCGTTTATACGCGTCCCAAGTCGTCGGCCTGTATGACAAACATGGTCGCAAGAGCAGTTGGCGCACGGAATGCGGTAGATGACATTGGTTTGCTGCTCTTTTGGTATAGGGTCTTTCACTCGCGATAATGTTGCGCGCACAGAGGACGCCGGCTTGTGGGCAATGAAGATGCCAAACCGGTTTAGTTGTCGGGCGATCGCTTCTGAAATACCCTGCATGTAGGGTAGCGAGTAGAATTTCCGATGTTCTGGCCCCTCATTAGAATCAAAGCCCTGTGGTTGTCTTTGATGCCTGAGACAATTTTTTACAAAGCTGACAGGGTGTCCGTTGAGCCGGAATAACCGATACAGGAAAGCTAGTTCTTTCTTAAGTAGATCATCGCTGCTGCAGTACCGATAGGCCCGGTGGAAAAGGGTTCGGACACAGCTCCTTTTATGAGCCGCTGGATGGTTGCTTTCATAATTAAGAATGACGTCAGTACTGGAGTCTTTTCGGTAGACGCTTGTTGCAAGGCCTCCATCACTTAGTGTTTGGATACTAACGTCTAGAAACGGGAGAATGCCTCCTGCTGCCTTTTCACAAGTAAACTGGATTGCTGGGAAGACGCTATTCAGACTCAGGTGTAGTTGCTCAATTTCGCAGGTCTTCATGATAACAAACGTATCATCTACGTATCGGAGCAACATTTTTGGTTTAAAGGTTCGCATAACTTCCTCTTCTAGTTCTTGTAGTACTAGTCCAGCTAGTAGACCTGATAGTGGCGAGCCCATTGGTGTGCCCCTAACCTGTTGATAAAACTTCCCATCGAATTGGCAGTAGTTCTTGAGACAGAGTCTAAGAAGTTCTGAAATGTGTTCTATCGGAATGTTGGTTGGATTATCTTGCAGGCGTCCGGTTACGCTCTCAATCGCTAGGTCATGTGGTATTAAGGAAAACAGGGCAACCACATCAAACGATAGAATACACTCATCAGGACTTACTTTCAGGCCTTGGATCTTCTGGAGGAATGCCTGAGAGTTTTTGATGCTATATTGTAATCCATTGGTGAGGTGCTTCAGGTGCCTGTATAACCATTTAGCGAGGTTGTAGGTGGGCGATCCAATAAGCAGCACTATGGTCCTCAATGGCGCACCTTCTTTGTGCACCTTTGGGAGGCCATATGCATGGGCTACTCGGGGGTCGTTAAGAGTCATACATCTGGAGTCATCGGGGGTTATGAGTTTCAGGCGAGTGAGCTCATTCACCTTCTTTTTTACAGCTGCGGCTTGCTTTTTAGTCGGGTCCTCCGCGTGTGGTGTGTAGGCTTCCCTGTAGTTAAAGACTTGGTTCGCCTTGTTGACGTAATCACTCTTTTCCATGACGACGGTCGCGCCACATTTGTCAGCAGACACAATCATAATGCTGTCGTCCGTCCTAAGCGACTGTAGCCCTTTTTCTTCATCGACTGGCAAGACTTGGTGGTGCTTCTTTTGTCGAAGGATACCAGTGGCACAGCTGCGTATGTCTGCGCGCATTTCTTCAGGCACAGCAGAGGTCAGTAAAATAGATTCAAGGCTCGCTAAGAAGCTTGTGGGCGCAGCGTCGGAATGGCTGAATTTTGTTCCTCTAGATAGTAGACTAAGTTAGACTACTTTTAGAGAGGTTAACAACTCTTGACGATCTGCTGGTTTCGTTGACAGGGCAAAGAAGAGATTGCAGTTTCGCTTGAAGATCGGCTCGCTTTTTCATTCTGGCGTCTAAAGCGGTGGCATTTATTCGGTGTAGCACGTCTGCGAATACATTCTCAGGCAATGTTGAGATACACTGGATTCGAAGGTCGGATATTGTTGCATCGAATCTGCAAAGGCGACGGTGGACGTCTGATATAATGGTACCCAAAACGCGAAATCCATATTTGCGTGCAAGTAGCCCCCCAGTCTCAGTCGGTAGAGTGGGCTTGAAACAAAGAGACTTCGGTAGGATGCCATGATCGCGACATCGATGAAGAAACGTCAGCTGCTCGTAAGTTGTAGCCTGTCTCTGAGCAAATTTCTCCCAACGTCTGGTGAGAATATATATATATGTAGAGTAGAAGTGGTAGGCATTCCGAGACGATATAATAAAAAAGGAAGAGTTTCTTCGGAAAAAATCGAGTTGTACTCGTGAATTTTTGAATTGGTGACACCAACCCGTCGTCAGACGAAATGAAGAGAAAAGAGAGAGTGAGACAGTCACGCTAGACTAATAGACGAGACAGGACAAACATTGGCGGACGAACCATTAGCGTGCGAGGAGGGATGCGGGTAGGGAGTCATGCTGGGTTCTGAGCCGGGAGGGTAGGAAGGGGGGGGGGGAACCGTTCGGACCCTCTACCACCGGGCCTACCGGTACTGCAGCAATGAAGATCTGCTGAAGAAAGAACTAGGCTTTCTATATCAGCTATTTCGATCTAACGGATACCCAGTCAGTTTCGTGAAGAACTGCCTCAGACGTCAGGCACAACCGCGAGACCCCTCCTCAGATGGAGAAACCGTGAAGCGGAAATTCTTCTCCCTGCCCTATATGCAGGCGACCTCAGAAATGATCGCCCGTCAGTTAAGTCAGTTCGGTATTCGCGTTTCCCACAGGCCTGCATCCTCGCTACGCACAATCTTAACTCGAGTAAAGGATTCTTTCCCCAAAGAGGAACAGACTAACGTCATTTATCGCATCCCGTGTGCCAATTGTCCCTGCGTATACGTTGGTCATACAGGACGACGCCTGGGAACTCGTATTAATGAACACAAACTAGCTGTCCGTCGCCGTGATCCACTGTCCCTCGTCTTTGCACACGCACTCCAGTGCGACCACCGTTTTAATTGGGATAACACCGAGGTCATCGCCACGGCCAACACAAAACGGTCGAGAGAATTCCTAGAGGCATGGCATTCTAACGCGGATAGCATCAACCGCCATGTTGACCTAGACGTCCATTATGAGGGCCTAAGATCACGCCTCACTAAGCCGAGCCCCACGCCGCATCAGCAGCCGCTAATCCAGGAGCCCGCAGTTCTGCCAACCTACCATTCTCCCTCCCCTCCAACACGGCAGCCGTAACGGTTCCCCCCCCTTCCTACCCTCCCGGCTCAGAACCCAGCATGACTCCCTACCCGCATCCCTCCTCGCACGCTAATGGTTCGTCCGCCAATGTTTGTCCTGTCTCGTCTATTAGTCTAGCGTGACTGTCTCACTCTCTCTTTTCTCTTCATTTCGTCTGACGACAGGTTGGTGTCACCAATTCGAAAATTCACGAGTACAACTCGATTTTTTCCGAAGAACCTCTTCCTTTTTCATTATATCGTCTCGGAATGCCTACCACTTCGACTCTACAACATATATATATATACCAGAAACCGCTAGAGAACGCTGGGGGTCCCACTGAAGAGCCGAACTCCTCGCAGCTGTGTCACGCAGCGGCAGAATATCGGCGAAACACGTGTCTGGGCTTTTAGCAAGTATCTAGGTCGGGAGTACGGTATAATACCTTTACCATATGAAATTCATACTACTCGTAGTACTACTTGTTTGTAGAA